CCCTCCTCACCCCCCATTTTCTCTCCCCTACTGCCCCCCAACTGTCCCCAGTGTGTGATGCTCCTCTCCCTGAGTCCACGTGTTCTCGTTGTTCAGCACCCACCTATGAGTAAGAACATATGGTGCTTGCCTTTCTGTTCTTGTGTCAGTTTGCTGAGAATGATGCTTTCCAGATTCATCCAAGTCCCTACAAAGGACACAAACTCATCGTTTTTTATGGCTGTGTAATACTCCATGGTGTATATGTACCACATTTTCTTTGTCCAGTCTATCATTGATGGGCATTTGAGTTGGTTCCAGGTCTTTGCTATTGTACACAGGGCTGCAATGAACATACGTGTGCATGTGTCTTTATAGTAGAATGATTTATAGTTCTTTGGGTATATACTCAATTGTGGGATTGCTGGGTCAAATAGAATTTCTATTTCTAGATCCTTGAAAAATTGCCACACTGTCTTCCACAATGGTTGAACTAATTTATACTCCCACCAACTGTGTAAGAGTGTTCCTATTTCTCCACATCCTCTCCAGCATCTGTTGTCTTCAGATTTTTTAATGATTGCTATTCTAACTGGTGTGAGATGATATCTCAATGTAGCTTTAATTTGCATTTCTCTAATGACCAGTGATGATGAGCATTTTTTCATATGTTTGTTGGCCTCATATATGTCCTCTTTTGAAAAGTGTCTGTTCATATCCTTCACCCACTTTTGAATGGGGTTGTTTTTTTCTTGTATATCTGTTTTAGTTCTTTGTAGATTCTGGATATTAGCCCTTTGTCAGATTGGGTAGATTACAAAAATTTTTTCCCATTCTGTTGGTTGTTGATTCAGTCTAATGATGGTTTCTTTTGCTGTACCAGAGTTTAATTAGATCCCATTTTTCTATCCTGGCTTTTATTGCCATTGCTTTTGGTGTTTTAGTCATGAAGTCCTTGCCTATGCCTATGTCCTGGATGGTTTTGCCTACATTTTCTTCTAGTGTTTTTATGGTGTTAGGTTTTATGTTTAAATATTTGATCCATCTGGAGTTAATTTTAGTATAAGGTGACAGGTAGGGGTCCAGTTTCTGCTTTCTGCACATGGCTAGCCAGTTTTCCCAACACCATTTATTAAACATGGAGTCCTTTCCCCATTGCTTGTTTTTGCTGGGTTTATCAAAGATCAGACGGTTGCAGATGTGTGGTGTTTCTTCTGGGATCTCTGTTCTGTTGCATTGGTCTATATCTCTGTTTTGGCACCAGTACCATGCTGTTTTGATTACTGTAGCCTTGTAGTATACTTTGAAGTCTGACATTGTGATGCCTCCGGCTTTGTTCTTTTTGCTTAGGATTGTCTTGGCTATGTGGGGTCTTTTGTGATTCCATATGAAGTTTAAAGTGGTTTTTTTCCAGTTCTGTGAAGAAGGTCATTGGCAGCTTGTTGGGGATAGCATTGAATCTATAGATTACTTTGGGTCGTATGGCCATTTTCATGATATTGATTCTTCCTAACCATGAGCATGGAATGTTTCTCCATCTGTTTGTGTCCTCTCTTATTTCGTTGAGCAGTGATTTTTAGTTCTCCTTGAAGAAGTCCTATACATCCTTTGTTAGTTGTATTCCTAGGTATTTTATTCTCTTTGTAGCAATTGTGCATGGTAGTTTGCTCTTGATTTGGCTCTGTTTGTCTGTTATTGTATTATATTATATAGGAATGTTTGTGATTTTTGCACATTGATTTTGTATCCTGAGACTTTGCTGAAGTTGCCTATCAGTTTGAGAAGATTTGGGGCTGAAACGATGGGGTCTTGTAGATATATAATCATGTCATCCACAAATAGAGACAGTTTGACTTCCTCCTTTCCTAATAGAATACACTTTATTTCTTTTTCTTGCCTGATTGCTCTGGCTAGAACTTCCAATACTATGTTGAATAGGAGTGGTGAGAGAGGGTATCCTTGTCTAGTGCCTGATTTCAAAGGGAATTCTTCCAGCTTTTGCCCATTCAGTATGATACTGGCTGTAGGTTTGTCATATATAGCTTTTATCATTTTATAATACCTTCCATCAATACCTAGTTTATTGAGAGTTTTTAGCATGAAGGGCTGTTGAATTTTATTGAAGGCCTTCTCTGCATCTATTGAGATAATCATGTGGTTTTTGCCTTTGGCTCCGTTTATGTGAAGGATTACATTTATGGATTTGTGTAACTTGAAACAGCCTTGTATCCCCAGGATGAAGCCTACTTGGTCGTGATAGATAAGCTTCTTATGTGCTGTTGCAATCTGTTTGCCAGTATTTTATTGAAGATTTTTGTATCGATGTTCATCATGGATATTGGCCTGAAATTTTCTTTTTTAGTTGAGTCTCTGCCTGGTTTTGGTATCAGGATGATGTTGGTCTCATAAAATGAGTTAGGGAGGATTCACTCCTTTTGTATTGCTTGATACAGTTTCAGAAGGAATGGAACCAGCTCCTCTTTGTACATCTGGTAGAATTCGGCTGTGAACCATCTGAAACTGGACTTTTTTTTGGTTGGTAGGCTATTGATTGTTGCCTCTACTTCAGTCCTTGTTATTGGTCTATTCAGGGTTTCACCTTCCTCCTGGTTTAGTTTTGGTAGAGTACAAGTGTCTAGGAATTTATTCATTTCTTCCTGGTTTACTGGTTTATGTGAGTAGAGCTGTTTGTAGTAATCTCTGATGGTAGTTTGTATTTCTGTGTGATCAGTGGTGATATCCCCTTTATCATTTTTTATTGCATCTATTTGATTCTTCTCCCTTTTCTTTTATATTAATCTGGCTAGTGGTCTATTTTGTTGATCTTTTCAAAAAACCATCTCCTTGATTTATTGATTTTTTGAAGGTTTATTTGTGTGTGTGTGTGTGTGTGTGTGTCTCTATCTCCTTCAGTTCTGCTCTGATCTTAGTTCTTTCTTGCCTTCTGCTAGCTTTAGAGTTTTTTTTTTTTTTTTTTTAAATCTTGCTCCTCTAGCTCTTTCAATTTTGATGATAGGGTGTCGATTTTAGATTTTTCCTCTCAACACTGCTTTAAAGGTGTCCCAGAGATTCTGGTAAGTTGTTTCTTCATTCTGGTTGGTTTCAAAGAACATCTTTATTTCTGCCTTCATTTCATTGTTTATACAGTCAACACTCAGAAGCAAGTTGTTCAGTTTCCAAATAGTTGTGTGGGTTTGAGTGTGTTTCTTGATCCTGAGTTCTAGTCTGATTGCACTGTGGTCTGATAGACTGTTTGTTATGATTTCTGTTCTTTTGTATTTGCTGAGGAGTGATTTGCTTCCAGTGATGTGGTCAGTTTCAGAGCAAGTACAATATGGTGCTAAGAAGAATGTATATTCTGTGGATTTGGGGTGGAACGTTCTGTATATGTCTATTAGATCCACTTGGTCCAGCTCTGCACTCAAGTCCTGGATATCATTGTTAATTTTCTGTCTTGTTGATCTAATATTGACAGTGGAGTATTGAAGTCTCCCATTATTATTGCATGGGAGTCTAAATCTCATTTTACGTTGTTAAGAACTTGTTTTATGTATCTGGGTGCTCCTGTGTTGGGGGAGCACTATATATATTTAGGATAGTTAGCTCTTCCTGTTGGATTGATCCTTTTAACATTATATAACGTCCTTCTTTGTCTCTTTTGATCTCTGTTGGTTTGAAGTCCATTTTATCAGAGAATAGGATTGCAACACCTGCTTTTTTTTGTTCTCCATTTGCTTGGTAAATCTTCTTCCATCCCTTTATTTTGAGTCTATGTGTGTGTCTGTATGTGAGATGGGTTTCTTGAATACAGCACACTGATGAGTTCTGACTTTTTATCCAGTTTGCTAGTCTGTGTCTTTTGACTGGGGCATTTAGGCCATTTACATTCAATGTTAATACTGTTACGTGTGAATTTGATCCTTCCATTTTGTTACTGGCTGGTTTTCTTTCTCATTAGTTGACTCATTTTCTTCATTACATTTTTGGTCTTTGCCAACTGGTTTGCTTTTGCAGTGACTGGTACTTGTTCCTTTCTGTGCTTAGTGTTTCTTTCAGGAGCTCTTGTAGGGCAGGTCTGGTGGTGACAAAATCTCTTAATAATTGCTTGTCTGTAAAGGATTTTATTTCTCCTTCACTTATGAAGCTTAGTTTGGCTGGATATGAGATTCTGGGTTGAAAGTTCTTTTCTTTAAGGATGTTGAATATTGGTCCCCACTCTATTCTGGCTTGTAGGGTTCCTGCTGAGAGATCTGCTGTGAGTCTGATTGGCTTCCCTCTGTGGGTGACCTGACCTTTCTCTCTGGCTGTCCTTAGCATTTTTTCCTTCATTTTGACCCTGGTGAAGCTGACGATTATGTGCCTTGGGGTTGCTCTTCTTGAGGAATATCTTTGTGGAGTTCTCAGTATTTCTCAAATTTGAAAATTGGACTGCCTTGCGAGGCTTGGGAAGTTCTCCTGGATAATGTCCTGGAGCGTGTTTTCCAGCTTGGATTCTTCTCCCTGTCATATTCAGGTACACCAATCAAGCATAGATTACGTTTTTTCACATAATCCCATATTTCTTGGAGGCTTTGTTCATTTCTTTTCACTCTTTTTTCTCTTGTATTGCCTTCTCTTTTTATTTCATTGAGTTGATCTTCAATCTCTGATATCCTTTCTTCTGCTGGATCAATTCGGCTATTAAAACTGTGTTTGCTTCACGTAGTTCTCGTGCTGTGTTTTTCAACTCCATCAAGTAGTTTATGTTCTTCTCTAAGCTGGTTATTCTAGTTAGCATTTTGTCTAACCTTTTTCAAGGTTTCTGGTCTCTTTGCATTGAGTTAGAATGTGTTCCTTTAGCTCTGAAAAGTTTGTTATTATCCACCTTCTGAATGTTTCCGTCAATTCTTCATACTCCTTCTCGGTCAAGTTGTGATCCTGTGTTGTTGAGGAGTTGTGATCCTTTGAAGGAGAAGAGGTGTTCTGGTCTTTGATGGTTTCCTCTTTTTTGCACTGGTTTTTTCCCATCTTTGTGGATTTATCTGGCTGTGGTGTCAGAGAGCTGCTTGATGAGGTGGCTTGTCTGCCTGTCGGGACACTACTGGGTTTCTAGACTCCTTCAGGTTTCCAGGGAAGCTTACTGTGTCTTTTTTGTTTATGCTGGGAGATTAGGCCCGCCTCTTCCACTGACCTGTAGGTGCTGCTGGATTGTCAAGAATGCCATCCCGTTACTATGTAGGCTTCCTGTGTTTTGTTAAAACATGTAGCCCAGTCCCACCCCTCTAGTGGTGGGTTGTGTTCTTCTTCCACTGGGCGGGATCATTCAGGGTTCATCTCAGACTGTGGCACTGGCTGCACAACCCATTAGAGTCAGAGCTTCAGCCCTCTGGGGTTTGTTGGGGAGGTTAGGGACCTGCTCAGCCGCCCCAGGCAGTCTCCTGCTTTCAGCTTCCTCTCTCTCCAGGCCAGGGGAGGGGGCAATAGCTCAGTCTGCAAACTCTTTTTCAACTCCGCACTTGTAATTCCTGGCGCTTGACTGGCAAAGATCCCCTGTTCTGTGTATTGCTGAGGCTTTGCGGGAAGTGCTGTATCTGGACTGGAGCACCAGAGGTGGAGCCTCTGACTCGCCAGTCAGATGCACTTTCTGGGTGAAGCAGCACTCCTCCCCGCCTCGGTCTGCCCTGAGTGTGCTTTGCTCACCCTCCAGCCAGACCCATTGAAATGCACCTGGTACCTCGGTTAGAGCTAGGAGATCTCTGGGTTTCTGTGTCTCCCGCTGCTTGCCTCGTGGACTCCCTGCTCCTAATCATGGCTGTTTCAGGGACTCCTTCCCATCTCACAGTGGGTCAGGCCCCAGCCTCATCTCGAAGGACCTGAGCATAGCGGAGATGTCCCTATACTCTTGTCTTCTCCCCATAAGGGGTTTTCCAGGGGTCAGGAATCTAAGGGAGACGTCCCCATCTTCCTGAACCCTCTCCGGTGTTCAGTAGTGCAGTCCAGGACGACTTCCGATCATCTCCGCAGTAGCGGCCAAGGTTAGAGTATTCAGAAGCCCCATTTGCAGACCCCGGCCCTGCCTAACAGCAGGACCAAATCCCCAGCTTACGCTACTAAAACTTCTATCTCAAATCATCCCTTTGGCACACAAACCCCCGTTAATTAAATAACTGTACTTCCTGTTTCTCTTCCTACCCCTGGCATGAGTGAGTTTGTGTGTAGTCCCATGGCCCAACGGCTACAGGGCTTGTGTGGGCCTCAACCTGCAGGTTCCATGGGGACATCATAAGGCCTAAAGATGATTCACCTCAGGACTGAAAGTTCTGAGGTGACCAGGCCTGGCAGTTATACGGGTACACCTTAGCCAAGATGCCCTGAAACATCCCTTAGGGGACATAGCCAGGAAGCCATCAGACTGATCTCCCATTGGGGGGCACCCAACCTTTGTCTGTCAATCCTATATGTGGTTCCGTCTTTAATGTAAATTAGCCAGTTTTGTTAGACTCTTGTTAGCTGATATACAGTGGGTTAGGCCTGGTTCCCTTGAAGTAAGAAATGTTCTATAGTGGGTAACAGACCACTGGCTGCAGGGAACCTTTACTGAATTTATGCTCCTAAAAGTAACTCTGTTCTCTTTCCTTCTCCTCTTCTTCTACTACTGAGCCTCACTTCCTCTAACTCTGCCATGCGGCAAATAGCCCTAGCACTGTCTCTTTCTATTTTCTTTCTTATTATAATCATTGTAGCCTGTAGGTTCTCTCAGCCACCCCCTCCAGGACAGGAGTATTTCTACCCATGTTGGATATAATATCTTTTTATAACCCTTCCTCACCCCTAACTACCCCATGACAGAGCATGAACTAGGGGTCTAGGCGGGGCTCCTGATTACCCAAAGTCTCCATTGGGATGTCTAGTCCAAAATTTACCTAAACTGGGCCTTTCCATAAAAAATAAAAGGCTGCTCTTCCTCTCCACCATGGCCTGGCCACAGTACTCTCTGGACAACCAGTCTAAGTGGCCTTCAGAGGGCACACTTGACTTCAATGTCCTGACAGATTTAGATGAACTTTTGCCAAAGGAACAGCAAGTGGTCAGAGGTCCCTATGTCCAGGCCTTTTGGTATCTGCTGCTCCCGATCCGGCCCTCTGCTCCTCTTATTCCTCTGCCCAGGTCCTGTTAGCCAAAACCACACCTTTGCCCTCAGCTCCGCCCAGCTCTGCACTCTCCAAAAACCCGGAAGTCCTGTCTTGCCAAGCCCTCTTTACCAACCCTCCTCCTTATGTGGGGCCTCAACTCCCTCCTCCCTCTTCTCCTTCTCCTCCCCAAAGCCCTAAAATAGCTTCCCCTGTCAGTGCTCACACCCACTCTCACGACCCCCCACTCCTCTGCCCTTTGCGTGAGGTAGCTGGGGCTGAGGGTGTTGTACGAGTGCACATTCCGTTTTCTCTCTCTGACCTATCGGCTATCCAGAAGCGCCTGGGGTCTTTCTACACTAACCCGACTGCCTACAACAAAAAGTTCCGCTATCTTACCTAACCTATCTTATCTAACCTGGCATGACACGTATGTAATCCTATCCTCCACCCTCACCCCAGATGAGCGTGACCGCATCCTTACAGCAGCCCGGGCGCACGCTGATCAAGTGCATCTCACAGTCAGATGCCAGTAGGTGCAGTGGCAGTCTCCGAGGCCTACTGGAATTATCAAACTGGTCAAGATGGCTGCCACCACCAAAACCAAATGCTACAGTGCCTCCTAGCGGGCATGCAAAGCGCAGCCCCAAAGGTAGTTAATTATGGACAAATTTAAGGGAAATAACTCAGGGCCCTATTGAAAACCCCACCACCTTTCTCGATTGACTAACTAATGCTAGGATCCTCCATAACTGGCTGGATCCGGCCTCTTTAGTGGGGGCTACAGTTCTAGCCACCCATTTCATCTCTCAGTCAGTGGCTGATATTAGAAAGAAACTTAAAAAGGCTGAGGAGGGCCCTCAAACTCCCATACGAGACCTGGTAAACATGGCATATAAAGTTTTTGATGGCCAAGAGGAAAAGGCTGAGGCCACCTGCCAGGCCCATCTATAGGAAAAGGTGAGCCGCCAAACCCAAGCTCTTGTGGCAGCCCTGAGGCCGGCAGCCCACCAGGTGCCTGGTGGAGAGGGGGGTCCATCAAAGCCTGCCAAGAACTCTGGGGGCGCTCCACCTGAGCACTGTTTCAAGTGCGATCAGGAAGGACACTGGGCACAGTCAGTGTCCATGTCCCCAACCACCTACCAAGCCCTGCCCAGACTGCAAGCAGCTTGGACATTGGTGCGGTGATTGCCCATCCCGGACTACAGGCTCACCCCCCCACACCTCTGTGTGGAGAGCAGGACAGTCCACAGGAGGCGATCCCATCACTGGAACTTCTTGGCATGCTGGATGACTGACAAGGGCCAGACTCAAGGACGCCCATCACCCTTGCCGAGCCCAGGGTAACGCTACAGGTAGCAGGTAAGTCCATTTCCTTCTTAAGTGGACATGGGGGCTACCTATTCTGTACTTGCCTTCCTACTCAGGACCTAGCATACCTTCCTAGGTTTCAGTCACTGGCATTAATGGAAAGCCTTCCTGCTCTAATCAAACTCATCCTTTAGCCTGTGTCCTCGAGGGACACCCCTTTTCCCACTCCTTTTTAATCATACCCTCCTGCCCAGTCCCCCTTTTAGGACGAGATATTCTCCAGACTGTGGGGGCCTACTCTCCAACTCACTGGCCCCCCACACTCAAGCCCATCACCCACCCACCTCCGACGGCCCCTCCTAACTGACACCATGCCCTGTCTTAACCCCTCGCTTCAACCCCCTATTCCTCCCGATGTAGTTAATCCCTTGGTATGGGATACCTCTAAGCCTGTAGTGGCCAGACACCACACGCCAGTTAAAATACTTCTAAAATCCTACCCACTTTCCCTCACGTCCTTAGTTCCCCATCTCAAAAACAAACCTGTCAAGGCCTGAAGCCTATCATCACCCACTGCTAGCCCAGGAACTACTCACTAACCACATCACAAAAGGTGGAGCTCATTGCCCTAACCCGAGCTCTTACACCAGCACAGGGAAAGTGAGCAAATATCTATACTGGCTTAAAATATGCTGTTCTTATTACCCACTGCCACTCTGCCCTCTGAAAAAGCGGGAATTCCTTACCACAAAGGGGTCCCCCATAATCAATGCTACCCAAATCTCTAATCTCCTGCAGGCCCTGTCACTGCCCAGAGAAGTTGCTGTCATTTACCCCCAGGGGCACCAGGCCCAGCAGGATGCCGTTTCCAGGGGCAATGCAAGGGCAGATGCAGCAGCAAAATCTTTAACCAATACCACATTAACCCCAACTCCAGTCATTTTTCTCACCACGGCCATGCCGCCAGTCTACTCGCCATCAGAAAAACAGGCCCTTATATCGAAAGGAGGAACCAAATCTGATAAGGGCTGGATCTTCTTAAATGACAGGATCGCCCTTCCATGGGAACAGGCCCCTAAAATTATTACTGAAATCCACCAATCCTTACATATAGGGCCTAAGGTGTTACACCGCTTTGTGCAGCCCCTCTTTTTCTCACCAGGTCTACAACAGACGACTGACCAGGTACACAAGGCATGCATTACTTGCTCTAAGGTCTCACCTCAGGGAGGCTTAAGGTTTCCTACCCACCAAACGCATGGCAACCTGCTGGCCCAAGACTGGCAAATTGATTTTACTCATATGCACACTCACAAGAAACTCCACTACCTCCTAAGCTTTTCTGCATGGATTGAAGCCTTTCCTACCTCCAGGGAAACCGCGGACATGGTGGCCTCCCTCTTAGTTCAAGAAATCATCCCAAGTTTCGGCTTGCCTGCAACCATCCGGTCAGACAACGGTCCAGCATTTACAGCTCAGGTGGTCCAGCTGGTCGCCAAGTCTCTCAGCATCTCCTGGAAACTGCACATCCTCTACCACCCTCAGTTGCCAGGTAAAGTTGAACGGGCTCATGGCATCCTTAAAGACCATTTGGCCAAACTTATGATCAAGGTAAACTCTCTTGGCCCACACTCCTACCTCTTGCCCTGGCCCGAGGTCCGGGCCATCCCACGGGGGCCAACGGGCCTACCCCTTCAAATTGCTGTATGGCCGTCCTTTCCTGGTTTCTTACAACCTCCCTGCTAAAACCGCCCCCACTGGTTTCCTACCTTGGCTTCCTCTCTCTTCTCTGCCACCTGCTTAGGAAGCATGCGGACTGCACCCTCCCTGTTATTCCAGGACCAGAAAACCCCCACCCAGTGACGCCTCTCCAACCAGGCAACAGCGTTCTCCTCCGAGAGCTCAAACCAGGATCTTTGCAGCCCCGGAATCCTGAACTAAGGGCCCCACCACCAGGACCCATTATCTTGCACAGGCAAACTGCCAAACAGGCAGCTGTCAGTCTACTGTCTCCATCATCATCCAAGGCGGCTGTCCGTCTACCATCTCCATCCTCATCCCACACGGTAAAAGCCCCGTACTCAGTCACCATCATGGGTTTCACTTTTGGCATGGGCTATGTTTTCTATATGACCAAACCAAAAACCACTGTCATTGGTGGAACACCACCTATGGGGAATGCCCATACAGCTCTTGTGTTATCACTAGCCACACCCTCCAAGCCGTCCCAATCGCATGCTCACTCGCTTCAGCAATGATTCCTTAGCCCTCAACATCCACGACCCCTGGCACAGCCATTGGGATGCAGGAGTGTCCAGTAAAGTCTATGAAGATTATACCTAGCACCACCTTAACGGGCATCCCCTTGTTCAAAGTACACTCTCAAAATCTCTCTCTCTGCTATGGGATGGCCAACAGCTCCAGCTGCAACACCACAGTAAAAGTAAAATCCTCCCTCTACGCACCTCCAGGGGGATAAGTTTCGTGCAATGGGACCCTGACCAAAGTTATTAATGCCTCCTTTCCCTTCCCTTGTGTGCCTGTCACTTTGGTCCCACAGCTAGAAGTATACGGGCAAGCTGAGTTCCTACCCCTCATCGCACCATCCCCTAATCACCAGAGCAAATGAGCAGTCTTCCTCCCACTAGTGGTTGGCCTCTCCTTAGCTTCCTCTCTAGCAGCAGCTACAATAGGGAGTGGCGCCCTGGGCTACAGTGTCACTTCAGCCACCCAACTAGAAGACAAGCTCCGTGTGGCCATTGAGGCATCAGCGCCTCTCTGGCCTCCCTCCAGCAACAAATCACATCGCTGGCCCAGGTAACTCTCCAAAACCGATGGCCCCTAGACCTGCTAACGGCAGAAAAAGGAGGTACCTGTCTGTTTCTTCAGGAGCAGTGCTGCTATTACATCAATGAAACAGGCCTTGTGGAAGAAAATGTCAACACTCTCTACCGCCTCCAAGAGGGCCTCCGCAAGAAGCAGAACACATCAGTCTCGCCTCTCAACTGGTGGCAATCCCCCATGCTTACCTGGCTAACTCCTGTTATCACTCCCATTATCGTAGTTTGTCTTCTGTTAATGCTAGCCCCTTTTTTCCTCAGGTTTTTACAGGCCCGCATAAGGAAAATTTCCAGGGTGGCTGTAAACCAGATGCTGCTTCACCCCTATGTCCGACTCCCAGCCGAAGCACCAGCCAGCTGACCGCCCCCCACACTCTGCCCCTACTCAGCAGGAAGTAGCCAGAAAGAAGCAGCGTCCTCTATCATCAAAAGGGTCAGAATGTAAGGCCGGTTGCCTCGCCAGGAGCTCGGACATGACCATCCCTCTCTGTGCCTGAAAACTACGTCACCACGCCACGCTCGACATCAAGCCCTGCACTCAGCATCTAGCTCCGCCATGTGGCTTCCCCAACGCCCACTTCTACGCTCCGCACCAGAATCTGCACTCCACACTAAACTCTGCACTCAGCACCTAGCCCGCCATTGGAAAACCCCACCAAAATTTAAAAGAAGCCCTGCCAAAACCTGCCCAATAGCATTTTGCCCCGTCCAGGTCCCACTCCTGCTGGGCAGCCAGCTCACCGGAAATCCCACCTACCTACCAATAGCAGCTTGCCCCGTCCAGGTCCTGTTCCCTCATAACCAGTCAAGACACCCTCACTCGCTAGAAAATCCCATGCCTCGGGAAGTCAGGCACCACTTCCCTGGCCCCTTTCCCCGGGACCATGGAACCTCACCCGGGAAGTAAATAAATTGGCATTTAATTTTCTTATACTGGCCTCAGTTTCCTCATTTTAAACTCGGCAATACCCCTTACAGAAGGCAAAATGAAATAAGAGGAGAATTCTTCCATTGCCCATGTTATACACATGCAGTGCTGTCAATGGCTCAGCATCATTGACCCAAGCCTCCACATTGCTGAGCCTACAGAGCCACCTAGTCCATTACCCACTGCTAATTGTCCTTTGTATTCCTAGTAAGTCTTCTTAAGTGGACTCCCAGGGGTTCATTTAGGAGATTTAGGGTATTTAAGAGCTGGGTAATGCAGAGACTCACCAAGTCCCACCAGATATGCTCTCTGCGATGGCTGCTCACAAGCGCCTAAGCTCTGGTCCTGGAGAAATGATGCACAGTTCCCATATGTCAATCCCAGGTGAGCCCACAAAGAGGCAGGACTGGCTGTTACTCTGGCCTCTCAGTTCTCTCAATAGCATATCTTGAGTCTCTGAATTCCTGCCAGGTAATCTTCTATCTTCAGCACTTTGGTTGCTCAGCTTCTATTCCTGTCTAAAGAAAGCCAGGAAAAGTATTTTAAGCGATAGGGGAATCTCAGCTATTATCTTGTCTCAAAGAGAACTCTGTGGACCAGCAGCATCAGTATCACCTGTAAGTTTGATAGAATGGCAAAATCTCAGGCCCTTTCAGGCCTTCTGAGTTAGAATCTACATTTTCTCAAGATCTCTAAGTGATTCATATGCACATTAATGTTGGAAAAGTATGGAAGTCTATTGCTATTCTATAAATTGGGGGGCTGAGGTTTAAATTTGATGTTTCAAATCTGGGAGCTGGTTCTGATTTCACTCTTCTTAGCAGCATCTTCAAGACGCAGGAAGAATTCCATGGCCAAACCCTCTAGCATGAAGTTACCTAGATGGCTGCCTCATTCTTAATCTCTCTTTAATTAAAACCAACACTCCTGGTGCTCAGACCCTGAATCATAACCAGACAGCTTATGCCTAATGTTAATGAGCCACTCAACTAAAATATATACATAGAAATTCCTAAATAAATTTCTACATTTGGAGCAAATGGTTAAACAAACTGTGGTACATTCATTCCACAGAATACCACTAGCAATAAAAAGGAATGCGATTAATACACAAAACAACTTGGATAAACCTCAAGGAAATTATGCTGAATGAAAATTACCAGTATGAAAGAAATATATACTGCACAATTCCATTTATATAGCATTCCTGAAATGACATAGATGATAGTGAACATGTTAATGGTTAAGAAGAGTTAGCCAGGTGAGGAGAAGGTGGGCATGGCTGTAAAGGAGCAGCATGAGGGAGCCTCATGTTGATAAAAGTTTTGTTGTATTTTGATGATGATGGTGTTTACATAGCTACACTTGGGATAAAATTGCATACAGATACACACACCCATACATACACACACATACACACACTATTGCATGTGCAACTGGTGAAATCCGAATAAGCTTTGTGTTTTGTGCCAATATTGATTTCCTGATTTTGATAACAGTCCCATAGTTACACAAGATTTTTACATTAGAGGAGGATGGGTAAAGGGTTCATGGGGCCTCCCTTTGATTTCTTTGCAACTTCCTGTGAACATGCAATTGTTTCAAAATAAAAAGCTAAAAAGAATTAAAGCATAGATGCAGTAACGTGAGTAAAGAAATAAGCAAATCAATAAACAGAACATTATCTACAGTAAGAGTGGGAGAGGTAGTTTCCTTTCAATGAAGAATGTGTGTACTCTTTTTTAAAAATTACCAATTGCTATTAAGATTCTACTTGTTTTAATCCTATCCTCAATTTGGCTGGTTCTAATGAGAAATTCTAGTCTTAATGGCATTTGTGGAATGAAAAGGTATTTTTTAGGCTTGTAATAAACGTACCTAAGATACAGGTGTATAATAAGTAAATACTCAAAAATCTAGCAATGTTTACTCGAGAAAAAATTTTGTCTTTCTGTAAAGGTACAAGATTACCTCATGTCTCACACATAATACTTTTATCTAAGATGTCTATTTGGGACTGAAAAAGTAAAAATGCATTCATAGTTTTTTGAGGTCAACATTTTAATACATAGGCCTTGCCCCCACTTCCTGCACCTCAAATGCTTTCCTTTATAACTGTCTTAAGTAAAATACAATGGACTATGCATTTTAACGTAGTAACAACTTTTGCCCTCGTACATGTAATTGCTTGAATTTTAGTTTTAATTCTCCTTCTCTCTAGCTGTAATTATGAGAATAATTAGATGTCAGAGTTCAGAGCTTCTCAAATTTAAGAAGAGAGGGACAGCCAAAATGATTTTTTTTTCTGCCTTTAAATATCAATTACTGACACAGCTACAACTAACATTTTCATAGTGTTTTGAAACTTATAAGACACTTCCACTTAGAAAGAACCACTCAGGAGTCAATTCAGACAAGATAGAAAGCAGTTTTAAAAGCAATTAGGCCAGCAGAGTGGCTCATGCCTGTAATCCCAGCACTTTGGGAGGCTGAGGTAGGTGTATCACAAGGTCAGGAGTTTGAGACAAACCATGGCTAACATGGTGTAACCCTTTCTCTACTAAAAATACAAAAATTAGCCAGGTGTGGTGGCTGGTGCCTGTAATCCTAGCTACTGGGGAGGCTGAAGCAGGAGAATTGCTTGAACTTGGGAGGCAAAAGTTCTAGTGAGCCAAGATTGCACCACTGCATTCCAGCCTGGGTGACTGAGCAAGACTCCATCTCAGGAAAAAAAAAAAAAAAAAAAAAAAAAAAAAAAAAAGCAATTAAACTGGAAACAGAAAATTTCATAGACATTTTTCTACCAATAACCAAAGGTCTGTGTGGCTGCAATTAAAGAAAACTGGGACATCTCAAAGTTTCTCACTCTGATCTTTTTGGTCTCCTGACCATGGACCCCATCACTCTCCATGAGAAATTCTTTGAATCCTGAGCTCGTAGGGAGGAAACAAAACTAAAAGTATGAACCCCAGTGTGAACCTGTGAACCTACAAAACACTGGCAAAAGTAAAAGCTTGAAGTTGGGTGAGCCAGGGTTCATACACTGGGGGACAGCCTTCCTCTAATTGGTTACAAAGCTATGTGTAGACAAACTTGTTGGTTCTTTGTGACTTCTTTTTTTCACTGGAAACATGGAAAACCATGGGTAAATGACCTTTTCTTGGACAAACCCATAGAGTAGCAACAGAAAGGCTACAGGTACAAGATTGCAACATGCCTAGATTCAAATCCTACTTGGTCAAATATGTGTGCCTCAAACTGCCTAAGTCTACAGTTAGTTCCTTGTCTGTGAAAATGGCTTTGAGACCATTTTTCCTGAAGAATTGTTCTGGTGAATAAATTGAATAATCAAACTATACACATAAAAGACTAAGTAATGGGTACAATACAACATAGGCACTTCTCAAACATTAGTTTTCTTCTATTTCCATGATCAAGAATGCTGAATATGTTCCAAGTTCTTCAGCAGCTTACCAGGCTGAAAAAAATGTTCTGGTCTCTGGCTTCTCCCTTAGACTTGTTCATCTCTCTCCACCCTCTCCAGGACACTTAGAAATGTTCCCTTCAGATTTTACAAAGAGGAGTAAAGGCTCTACGTTTCAAGAAAATTATTTCAGTCTTGTAAAAATCCTTGAGGAGAGAAAATTCAGACGACATGTTTAAATGATTAGAAGAGGGAATAGAGAAAAAAAAAAACAGAGATGTAACACAGATTAACATCTGACTAAAGTAAATGAAATATTCTAACCCATTGGGAAATGTGTAATTTGTATATAAAAGAAATTGTAAATATCAACTGGCCTTGGCCCAGTCCGATGACTTTACCTATAAGAAATTATTTGATCTTTAGGCCCCTCTTAGCTGCTTATCTCATGGGGAAGTACAGATGAAAAGGAATATAGTAGATGTATATCATTTGAGACACCCATATCCCTCTCCCGTTCTTCTGGAGCTCATATTTACTTTTCTTTTGAAAAACAATCTTCCCCAATGTCAGTCTATATGGTTTGAGTGAAATCAACCTCATCTGCGAGCCCCAGAGATGACCTAGGACTCAGACCAGTGCAATCAGAATATTCTACTTCCCCAGCTAAGGTGATTGGTTCAAGAATTTGGGTCTAGGACCTCAAAGAGTCTGATGATTCAGGCCTGAATTTGAAAGGATGGAACGCTCTTTTCTCCTGAGTGACCAAGCCAATGCAATCTAAATCCCGATCTGTTGGATGCCAAATCACTACTGTGTGGAATAGCCCTTCTGAGATTAATTTTTTTTTTTTTTAGACAGAATCTTGCTCTGTTGCCCAGGCTGGAGAGCAATGACATGATCTTGGCTCACTGCAACTTTTGCCTCCTGGGTTCAAGCCATTCTCCTGCCTCAGCCTCCTGAGTAATCAGAATTACAGGCACATACCACCACACCTGGCTCTTTTTGGTATTTTTAATATAGACGGGGTTTTGCTACATTGGACAGGCTGGTCTTGAACTCCTGACCTCAGATGATGTACCGACCTCCCAAAGTGCAGGGATTACAGGCATGAGCCACTGCTCCCAGCCAAGATCAAATCTTATATGGAGAAAAATTTCTTACTGTCAAGGGATGAGAATACACAGATTCCTGAAAATGCTGTTACTACAGCTGAGTCTTACAGTACTTAAGGTCAAACCCACCCTGGAAGTTTCAATTATAAGAACAAATAAGTTCCCTGTTTGCTGACACCACATGAACTACATATTCTGTCATCTGCAACCACAGAGTTCTCAACAGCACCAGTGTTTAATAGGATGGAACTGTCTTCTCATGTGCATAGTAGGAAGATTGATGGCAACTACAGGAAAGAGGGAGAGGGAGAGTAGAATGATGGGCTGGAGCCAGTTTCTCCTGGCCAGACAACTGACCAGAGAAACTCAAGAGAGAGCCTAAGTGTGGTTGCCTTACCTGGGATGGAGGGCTGCAGAAGAGCTAACAGTAGATAGGCTGTCACTT